AAAAAAAAAAAAAAAAACACATCATAGTAAAACCAATACTTTCTCAGCTTCGCATCGAAGCTAAAAATAAAAATTAAGTGTTGAAAATTACGGAGCTTGTGGATTTTCCATAATACGCAAATTGTAAATTTTGTAAGTTCTATAAGAGGAGTTAAAATTATTTCTCAATCATCAAATTTTCACCAGATTTTTAATCGCCTAAAGGTAAGTGCTACGTTAATTTGAAAAAAATTCGTTCAGTCACTTAAGTGTAATAAGATGATAAAGTTGATAAAGTTCTTGTAATGTGTCTTACATTGCAGATGATACTTTCAACCCCGTAGAAGTAGTAAGATCAGGAACAGCAAGAAATTGTTCTATTCCAAGTGCTATAGCAACAATTGATAGTCGGTCTATATTTTCTATTCCTGTTATATCAGGTACAATTTTTAAATCCCAATAAATTACAACAAAATCATGATCAGCACTTAAAAAATTAAACATCATAGTTTCATAAATATTGTGGCATGATTTCTCCAGTATTCTATTAATGGACGATCGACTAAGTATAGAATCATTAATATCTACCGACACAGCTTCGAGACGAGCTATTATAATATCCATTGCATCTCGATCACTTACTTTACATTTATCTAATGCTGCATAAAATCGGGGAGTTGTAAAATTTCTTCTCCTTAATTTTTTACATTTTGAAGAATCTGTTATATTTTGTATCGTATTGCAAAATAACCCACTTAAGTAATCTTAGATTGGCGGTAATTTACTTCCAGTTATTTGACTGTTAATATAATTGATCAAATAGATATTTCTTCGCGACATATTCCAATAAAACAAAAATTAAAGAAAAACTAAAAATTAATAAAAATGTGTACAAGTATATACGGGTAGTATACAGGGTGGCCCACCACTCACTGACAACTTAAATAACTTTTGATCCAGTTAATATTTTTAGCTGATTTTTTTTTTAAATATTAGTTAGACGTTAGGTCTATAGCAATATCTCAATATTTAATTTTTTTACATTTTATTAAAAATATTAATTATTTTTAAATTTTAAATAAAATGTAAAAAAAAAATCTAAGATAGCTATTTTGTAGAGTAGAATTTAAGAAAAATTTTAGTAAAAAAATATCTTATTAATATTCAGTAGTAAATATTCTGTAGCGTTTTGAAGTTTGT